AGAAGGGAGCCCTATGAAGACAGCCGATGACAGAGGGGTCATCTGCTACCTCTTGACTTTACACCTTCAGCCTGTAGAACATTGAGAAGACACATCTTTACTCTCTGAGCCAATGAGACCAAGGAGATGTGTCTCCCTATGACAGTCCCTGAAAAGCGACTGAGGCATGACAGGAAGGTGTGCCTTTTCCTTGACACCTCTCTCTCCCTCTTGTTCTCTCTCTCCCCTCTTCCTGGCTTCCTGAGGTGAGCAGCTCTGACCTGCCACAGAAGCCCTGTCATGGGGTGCCACGGTCTGTGGCACACAGACCCCAGCCAAAGTGCCATGGTCTGTGGCATGAAACCTCTGAAACCAAGAATCAAGATCAGTCTTTTCCCCACAAGGTGCTGTGCAGAGGTGTTTGCTCACAGTGGTGGGAAGCTGATGAGCACACCTGCACCTTGTTAAAGACAGCTGTTCCTCCTAGGTGTGTAGGACAGTCAGCTGCTCTCCATTTCAATAATCTCAATGTGTCTGGTGCTGCCACCTGCTGGCCTACTTTGAATTACAAGTCATTTGTCTCTTAAGGGAAAGTTTTGTTGTAGCACATACTTGTTTCTCTTTAATGGGCTCCATGCTTTTGCCTTAGCTTTTGCTAATCCCACTGTAAAAATAAGAATTATTTTTGCATACTGAATTATTTTCATAATTTTCAGTTTACTTTGTGAAATTTCCTCCTGATCTCAGATTGGATAATACTTGAAATATCATCTCCACATATTATGAATCAATTACTTTGTGGAAACATAATGAGAGTTGGGATAATAGTGGCTATAAGAGGGTACTGTTGTCTGTTGTCAGCTGTCCATGGTCACCATCACCTTGGGGAGCACAGATCACAGAATCCATTTTTCTATTATGTGTTCCTATAGAATTGCTCAACTGAGGCACTTGTATGATTCAGACACCAAAGTGAATAATTCTACACCCACAAGCACCTATTGTCAAAGGCACAGACAGAGGAGATATCAGTGGAATCACCAGGTGAGGAGGTGCAGGAGACTGAGAGGACCATCTGCAGTTTGGACCTCTCTGGAAGATTCTGATAATACAAAATTAGGCAGTCTTTGTGTGTGTGTGTGTGTGTGTGTGTGTGTGTGTGCCAGGATTGAACTCAGGAATACTCAACCACTTAGCCACATCCCCAGCCCTATTTTTGTATTTTATTTAGAGACAGGGTCTCACTGATATGCTTAGCACCTTGCTTTTTCTTGAGGCTGCCTTGAACACACAATCCTCCTGCCTCAGCCTCCCAAGACACTGGGATTACAAGCATGTGCTACCATGCCCAGCCCAAATTAGGCAGTTTTTATAGACATAGGAGATTTCAGCAGAATGACCAGGTTATAAGGTATAGGAGGCTAAGAGAACCACCTCCAGTCTGGAGTTCTCTAAAGCACTCTGATAATACAGAATTAGGCAGTCTTTACCTACACTGACAGATGAGTTCAGGATTATGGGGAGAAACAGAATCCCCTATTTTTTAGACCAATATCCCTAACAACCAGACCTGCTAATACAATTAATGTCTGTAGTGTGAACTTCAATCCCTGTATTAAAGCCAGTCCTTCTTTGAGAATATGTTAGCTGTATAAATCGCATGTGATACCACTATGTGGACTCCCAACCTTCACTACTCTGCGTCATTTAGGAAATAAGGGGAGACACACTCTGGTCTTCTCCAATGGAGCTGAGGGGAAGTAAAGATGGTGAATACACAAAGAGCTATCCTCTCCCCTTCCAGACAATGTGCTTCAGAGCCTGGCTGCCTCTGAGCAGTGCCTTCATCAGGTGGAGGCAGCAGAAGGAGCAGCTGGGGCATCCTAGCCTTACACTTTCCCGGGACATTGATGTCATGTCCTGTGTCACTTTGGGCAGCAAACTGCTATGCCATTGACAGTAGTAAGTGGCAACATCTTCAGGCTCCAGGCTGCTTATGCTGGATGTTAAATCTGTTCTGGATCCTCTGCCCCTGACCCTGGATGGGACCTCATATTGGAAAATGGTTCCAGAATACATCAGGAAATTGGAGCTTTCCCTGCTTCCTATTGTTATCAGTGTCAATAACTAAGGCTCTGACTTGCCTAGTGGGACATTGTGATTTGGTCTCCTTAAGCTGTAGACCTGGATTTTGATTATCTATATCCACATTTGGTGTTCCTTGGATTTACAGACTATAGCTCCTCCTCTGTATTCTTTAGTAATCATATCAATGTCTTCAGTAAGAGAGTTCCCCTCTATGCCAAAATTCCTCATTGACACCCTTGGATCTACAATTGTTTTCCTCCATTTATGGAGAATTCCTACTAAATTCTTCTTCCATTTATGAAGACTGTGTCGTCTGGATGTCACACCTGGAATCTGATATTGAAAACATAAAAACCAATATCCACATGCTGAACCTTGTTATGAGAGTATGCGTTTATAGACCAAGTACATTGGACCTCACTGTGCTGGGTAAATCCCCAAGTGTTGAAACTTCCTGCTTGTTGAGGGCCACAGCCGAGTCGGGATGACCCATGGCATTTTTGCCAGAAGTAGTGGTTGAGAGGTGATGCCAGTGAGCCATTAAGATGATGCCTTTCGAGTTCTTGTGGAGTTCCTGTTGAGTTCTGGTTGAGCTCTTGCGGGGATTCCTGAAGAGTTTGCATTGGTTGGGGAAGTGCCAGAAGAGGGATTTCCATGTGGTGTGTTCCTGGAGGAGCTGTGTGGGTGGTGTTTGGGAGACTTCCTGGGGAGCGTGTGTGGAGTGTACTGGTAGAGTTCAGAAATAAAGTTTGTTCCTTCTTCAGTGGCTCGTAATTTGTGCCCAGCCAGACTGTGACACCTACTTTAAAATAAAAGTAGCAGGGTCCACAGGAGTCATGTGGGCACCCTTATGTCCATGCAATGTCCTGACGGAAACCAACTTCTTCACAGACTGTGACCACACAAAGAAGAAGTCCTCAGGGAGTGGGGCTGTACTCTGGGTACATGCAAATCCACAGGGCTTGGCAGGGCTTGGCACAGATGCTGGACTAGCTCTTCTCACTCATTCAGCAGAAATTTAGTGTCTTCCTATTTCCCCAGGCATCACATATTTCTCACAGAGTATTTTCTATTTATTTTTTTTGGGGGGGGCAAAAAACAGCCTCAGTATTGCCCCCTCTGCATGGCCTGTTAGTTTTATCTCCTCTAGCTTCAGCACATTCTGAGCTTGCTAGATTCCAACTATGACAGGAACTGTCCATTAGGACACAATTCCACCATACGCATGAGTGTTCTAGCTCCTTTTCTTGGTTCCCATGCATATCACTGAGGTAAGGGCAGCTTCCTCTTTACTCTGATTCCCTGAAACTATGGTTCATACAGGGAAGAAATAGGAAAACACGGGGAGCCACAATCTATTTTGAAGAGTGTCACCTACCTGACCCAGCTGTCATGTACAGCTAAGCATCTTTCTTCCTCATCTCTGAAGGCTTGGTCCCACTGCTTCCATCAAAGCCATCCAAGATCAGGGATTTCTCCCTTCCCATCTGAGCATTATGAGCTTCTGTCCTAGCTGCTCATGATTACACATATCCATGCCTGCTGTCCCCGGATGCTCAGGTTTATGCTTCTGCTCACTATAATCCTATAAATCCAGTCACTGTCTTCAGAGATGGAGGTCCTTCTTCTACCAAGTGCTCGTTGATGCCCTTGAATTTCTTGTGATTCCTAAGTGTGCATTTCTGCCATCACCAAGTATCCAGTAGTTCCCTAAAGAACCCAATTATAATGGCTGTTTTAGGACTGCAGGACTCAAGCAGGGTGAGGGAGAAATGTGTGTGAGTGCTATCTTATTGGTCCTGAGGGTGCCACTAATTGGGATTAGTTGTACCTTTGACTCACTTTGGGCACCCAAGAAAGAGGAAAGGGCAGAGTACTCAGAGGGATGAGATTCCTATGTAAGGAACAGAGTCCAGGCATGGTTAGGGGGACACTCTATGGGGTACAAAGTTGGATATGGCCAATTAGTGGTCAGAGTGCAGCAGGTGTGTGGGTGTGTTGGGAGGAGAGGGGACAACCTCCAGAACCCACATTTCCCTTCAATCCCTGCTGAACTCTTTTTCACTTGCTTACCTGCCTCTTTATCACTTTACCCTGCCTAAATCCAGGGGCCCTGAGGGCAGCCATTAATAACTCTGCTGCATTCTGAACTAAGAGATGAACAAGATTAGAATATGCAGTTTTTAGGAACTTTGTAGATTCAATGGTGTCAATGAGGAGCATTGCAGAGAGGGAACCTCCCCTTCTGAAGACTTTGATTTGATTACCATATAATACAGAGGAGGAGCTGTAATCTGTGAATCCAAGGAAGATTAAATGTGGATATAGATAATCACAAGCAGAGACAAGAAGTTCACTCTTATTCCTCTGGTATACATAGACACTTCCTGACCTTGGATGACTTGGATGTATGTAGAGGGACACAACATTCATGGACAATCTCTTGCTTAGCTGGAGATGAGAAGAAGAGTAAGTGAGGACAAATCCTACTCCTTCTTATAAATTGTGACCCTCCCCCATATTTACTTTGATTTTCTCATTCACAGAAAGGGCACAAGGGAAATGGACCAAAGAGGAGCTGGTCTCATCCTACTAATATCTGTGGAAGATCAAGCAACCCTCATTTAACTTAATTGCAGTTAATGTATTTCTGTCCTGACTGACAGCTCCTGTCAGGATGAAATGGAGACCAAGAAAGCACATGGCCACCTTCCAGAGATCAAGTAATACTCTACACTCAGGGCACAAAGAGGATGCTGTCCTTTGTCACACAAAACACATTATCCACTGCCAAGTCCATGGTGATCTGTTTATTCTAGAGACATTTGGGCACCCTGGACCTGTGCTGAGTGACTGGCAGGAGCCAGCCCTGCAGCTGTGCTCAGCCCTGCCCAGCTCTCCTGATTTGCATGTGCCCACAGCACAGCCCACTGCCCTGTGGACTTCTTAATATGCCGGTCACATCTTGTGAAGGAGTCAGTCTGAGACAGGACACAGCATGGCCATGAGGGCCCCTGCTAAGCTCCTGGTGCTCCTGCTCCTCTGGCTCCCAGGTAAGGAGGGACAGCACTGGGGAGTTAATCAGCCTACTGTTTTTAGGGTTGCTGGACAAACAAAGAAGTGCCTTTTAATATGAATAATTTTTGTTTGTTCATATGTTTTCATTGTTAGGTGTGAGATGTGACATCCAGTTGATACAGCCTACCTCCTCCCTGTCTGCATCTCTAGGAGACAGAGTCACCATCACCTGCAGTGCCAGTCAGAGCATTGGCATAGGTTTAGCCTGGTACCAACAGAAACCAGGGCAAGCTCCTAAACTCCTCATCTATCATGCAAACAATTTGGAATCTGGGGTTCCCTCAAGGTTCAGTGGCAGTGGATCTGGCACAGATTTCACTCTCACCATCAGCAGCCTGGAGCCTGAAGATTTTGCCACTTATTACTGTCAGCAGTATAATGGTTCCCCTCCCACAGTAAGACAGGCCATGACAAAAACCTCCCAGGGAGCAGAAGTGGGAGGCTGGGCTGCCCCAGCTCCTCCTCCTGCTGCCTCCACCTGCTGAGGGCACTACCCAGAGGCACCAGGCTCTGAGGGTCACTGGGAGATTTTGGTAGAAAGAGCCAAAGAGGATCCTCTGTACCCCCGCTAGTTGCTCCTCCTCACCCCAAGAGAAACAGACATGATTATGCTCCCCTGAAATCAATGAAAGCCTTTGTTAGACATGGGGAATTTGGTTATGGTTTCCATTGGATTCATACATCAACACACAAGCCCCTAATGGTGTTCCAATTGGGAATTTTCTAGGTGAGAAAACAGATATCTAATCCTCCCTGTAATGTCCTGGGGTATGAGAGTCAGAGAAGCTGACACAAGAAACAGGAATCCTTGCTGCTCACCCAGAATCCATAGAGAATATTCTACTGAAATTAAAGAGTGCCCAACCCTGGGGTCCTCAGAGCTGTGCAGAATTCCTGAGGTTGTGCTCTGAAGCTGCCCATGGACTCTAGTACTCACCAGGTGATTCTCCCCTTCCCCTGCCTCCATGTGTCACCTGCAGGAGACAATGAATTATGCACTTTTATGACTTCCCAATGTCAAGGAATTGCCTTCACTGAGACATTCTATAGGAAATCAATAAACACCCATATTCTGATCCTGAAATTCTAAGAATATTACCTTACATCAACAAAGGGAGGTGGGATTATGATAAAGATTCAGGACTTGGAGATTTTCCTGAATATCCTGCAGGAGAGCAATATAATCACTAGGGCCCTTAGAGTGGGAAAGAGTGACAGTCACAGTCAGGGGATGGGACAATGTTGAGAGGTCTTGAGAGACAGAGGGAGGAGACAGGAGAAGGAAGTGAGAAAACCTAGGAGCTGGAAAGCCTGGAGCTGAATTCTGTCCTCAGGAGCCTGCAGAAGGCACCCAGCCCTCCTGCCCTGGTTTCAGCTCAGTGGGAATCTGAGCTCCAGGACCCTGAGATAACCAGCCTGGGCTGCTCTAAGCCCAGGAGGTGATGGTGGTCTTTGGAGGCAGCAGTAGGGACTGATGCAAGGGAAGGGACAGAGACACCCTGGCAGTGGCCATCCACTGCCCCACTAAACATTGTCACATTCCTGTCATTTGGTTTCTACATTGACATGAGGCAGAAAACCTTTAATCTAAGAATGGATCTTTCCAGAGCTATTCTGAAGTAGAAATACCTAGATAATTCTCCCTCACATGGGGTCTATTCACAGCACCCGAGGAGAGAGGAGGGTTTTGCTTGCTCTGTGCTCATTGGTCTCCATGTCTGGGGTACAGATTAGATTCACAGGGGAGAGTTAGATGGGAGGACTGAGTCATTAATGGGGGCAGAGGGCAGGAGGGAGGGTCAGGGCAGTGCAAGGCACACCCCTCTCCACATCTGGAATGAAGGTAGGTAGGGCAGGGAGGGCTACAGGGCTGTGTTTTGCAGAAGAACCTGCAGAGGCCTGAGTTTCAGGTGAGGTCAGCAGGGAGTGGGCACAGGCAGCAGGAACTGAGATTCCCAGCCTTCAGTTTGGATCCTCTCCTTCCACCGCAGAGGCTATGCTGCACCTTTGGGAAGACTGTGGCCATGTGGAAGAAATGCATCTAAATTCAAACAGACCTGGCTTCAGAGCCAGCCACAGCCCATGTAACTTTTAACTGTAAAGTCAAAATTTAATGTAAAATAATTAATGTTTTCTCCATGTTGCTCAATTTACTACAAAATTTCAAGAAGGACTAGAGAGTTTATTTTCATTTTTATGCTCATAACTAATCCCTCCTGGGAAATTGACATAACACACATTAATGGGTCCAGGAAAATCAGAGCCTCTTTGTCTTTGAAAACCAGAGTAATCTTCCTAATAGAAATGATGCCTATTGGTTCTGTTTCTTTGGAAAACCTTAAGGCAGGAGGCTTTCTCTGGCCCCATTGTGGACACTCCACTCACCCTAAGTGGCCATTCCTATCACTGCGCTGGCACAGCCTATATTCATGCCTCTATTGCAATGCTGATATCTGCCACTCACTAGGTTGTGAGCAGACACCAGGTTTAACTCATTTTGTATCCCCGTAATCTAGCAGAATGTCTGACACACAAGTAGGTACCTGATAAATATTCATGGAATAAAAGCAGTACCAGAGCCTGAAGTTGAAACAGTCTTCTTCCTTCCCTGGACTGCAGTACCCTGTATCCAGGAGGATCTGTGGCTCTGCATGCCATTACACTTCCAACCATTCCTCACAAATGTGCAGCTCTCAGCCTCTTCCCATGTAGTTGAATGATGTCCTGTGGCCAGATCATCAGTTATGACAGACAAAGAAACCAGCTGAAAAATTGACTTTCAAGAGCCCTGCCTTCTCAAAGGACAAGGTCTCAGGTTTGAGAAAATCTAATTACTTTCTTGAAGCTGTTGATTTCTCTTGATCTCTGCATTCATGGGACCAGTGTCTTTCATCTCCAAGAGAAGGGCCAGTAGAGTCAGATGATAGCTCCGGTCAATTCCACATGCTCAGATTTAGATTCTCAATGGGTTCTAAGACCACCTCTCCATGTGTTGAAGGCTGAATCTGAATAAACCATGATTAAAAGTTTGAAATTCTTTACTAATTTACATCCTATATTGATAAAAATGTAACAATTAGTTATATTCTATCTTAAATTATTTTCAACATCATTTTTACTATTGATATTCTCCAACCCCATTGCAAGCACTCTGAATCCAAGTAAAATGTATCTTGCACACCACTTTGCCTAGTGATAATGACTTACTAGGCACTCAATAAATACTTGTAAGTTTATTATTATGCTTGGCCCATCTAATCTGGTGAGTTTATGTATGTCCACAAACCCCTAAAAGCATCTCCAAATACTATTCTATAAAACTCTAGAACATCAGCTGATTTTCTAGTTAGCCTAATTCTGCCTTATTCATAAAAAATTATAAAATTTACATTTTATAACCTTTACACTTTTTCCATTAGCATGATATACTGTTACATTGTTGCACCCCAATGAATTGCACCTCTCAGAATTCATGCCCTTGTGTTATTGCTTCTTACACTGAGGCTGGGCTGGGTCATGTGACTTGCTTCAGCAAGTGGGACATCAGCAGGCATGATCATCTGCTCATCAAGCAGAGCGTAGTAAGCTGTTTCTCTTTTGAACACAGATTCTAAGGTGCAAGAAAGTCCAACCATGTGAGATGCACAAAATATGTGAAGTAAAGACTTCCCGAATGTCACGGTTCCATTGAATGCCTTAGAGGGCAGTACCTAAGAGAGACCTCAGAAAAGACCAGCAGAAGAACTGCCCAGCTGATCTCAGCCCAGATTGCTGAATTCAGATAAAAAAAAATGACATTTTTTAAGCCACTGGGTTTGGTATAACAGTAGACAACCAAAACTCCCAAAATCTTGTTTCAGCTTCCTAACCATCATTGTGAATTAATAAATGCCCCCTAATATTTGTAGGTCCCATATTTAAGTACCTTGAGTTATAAAACATTAGAAGTGGAAGATACTTTTCCTGATTTTGGGGGAAAATATTTTGCTTCTAGACATTTCAAGGATATTGAGACTTTAGAATTTGACTTTTGAATGTAGAACTTTTTTCTAGGTGGTGCCTTTAAAAAGATAATTAAGTTAATCTCTCATTATTATGATTATTATTTTCTTTTTCTTTTCTGGATTTTGCTCTGGGGTAAGTATCTAGGGAAAAGTAAAATCTGATCTTTTGAGTCTCATGCCCTGTTTTATGCTCTTGCCAAAATGTTCCATTAACTTCATTCCAAGTTTAAAACAAAATATGTTCTTTTTTTAAATTTTTTATTGTTGGTTGTTCAAAACATTACATAGTTCTTGATATATCATATTTCACACTTTGATTCAAGTGGGTTATGAACTCCCTAAGCTGGAGAATCAGGAAGGCAGGTGTGTAATTCAGTCCAAGTCTGAAGGTCTGAGAACCAGAGGATCTAATTGTGTGACTCTCAGTTCAAAGTGGAGGCCCCAGAATGGGGCAGGAGTGTGGTGGTGGGGAGGTGCTGGTGTCAATAAATCCCAGAATCTGGATTCTGGAGGATTAGGAGCTCTGCTGTCTGCAGGTTGGTAAAGATGGATGTCCTAGCTCAAGGCATCTTTGTTCTGTCCTGGACCTGGATGTGGCAGAGGAGGACTGCCCCCATCGGTGAGGGTGGATCTTCTTTTCTCAGCTACTGATTGAAATGAAATTCTTTTTTGAAAACACTCTCACAGACATGCCCACAAATGAAATTTTATTAACTATCTGAGTTCCTCTGACTCTAGTCAAATTGTCACCAAAAGTTAACCATCAAACCTGTCAAACATGGCAATTCCTAAATTAGATTTTGAAGAATACATTGGAGTGATACAGGGGGGTAAGTGGAGAAGGGCACTCTCAGCAGAAGGTAGGACTATGTGGAAGGTCATGGAGACACATTGTGGAATGGGGGACATTTAGAAAAGCCTGGAGAAGAGGGTACAAGGCGGGCAAGTGCAGGGGCAGAAAAGAAAGCCAAGGTCAACTGAGCCTCCCAAGGATTTCAAACTTTATCTCCTATGTGATGAGAAACATATAATGGTATCAAGCCGGGTAGAGACATGAGCACGTTGTTTGTTCGTTCTACTTGACAGCGGGGATAGCACTTTCAATAAGGATGAAAATGTTCTATCATTTTTTTTTTCTATTGAGTATGAGAAGCCATAACCACAGGAGTACTTGAAATGTGATCAGATAAATTCAACTTTAAACTTAAGTGTAGATATCCAGATGTGCCTCTTGGCTGACATATTGGGTAAGCTGGCTCTAGAAAAAATCTCAGTGGTGGCAGTGGGGAGTATGAATTGGATGAAGGCAAGAAGGAGGGAGAAGACCTTGTAACAGTTCAGGTGTGAAATAATTTGGTATTGAACTAATTTACCATGAGGATGAAGTTGTGCCTGACTTGAGGATTACTTAAGAAATAAACTGGGGGCAGGCGTTGTAGCTCAGCAATAGAGTGTTCGCCTTGCATCTGCGAGATCCTGGGTTTGCTCCTTAGCAC